CCCCAAAACCCCAAAACCCCATGCTTTAAAAAATATGATTGAAAAAGTTTTACAGAAAAATAAATGAATTTAAGAAAATAAGAAAGCGAATTAAATTTTAATTAATATGAAAATGATGAAAAAGAGAATTACATCATAACCATTCTAAAATTCAAGTCCACAGAATAAGAATGACCCACCAGCACTATTTAATTAGCAGAATGTTTCTGCTTTTATCATTTAAAATACCGATGACTCCTAAGTTTTCCTACGACCTTATAGCTTTTAAAACCAATAGCTACAAATATCTTCATAGTAGTAGCAACAACAGTAATAATAATAGTTATTGCAGAAATAGCAGCTGCAATAGTATCAATAATAACAGTAGTAAATTTAAAACTAAAGATATTCTCCTTTATTAAAAACTTAGAATCCACATTTCAAGAATAATATGTAGCATATACCACTTGATAAACTTGAAACTGGAGCTAATCTTCACTAACTCGGCTAGTTAAGACTCGTATCTGAGCAAAGAGTTAATCACAATACGAGCTAATAATTTCCAATAACTGGAGACTATTCATAATCAAAGTATCTTAAACAAGTTGGAGTTAATATTATTAATGAAAAATTTTAGAGTAGTTAAAAGTAGCCTCTTTGATTACAATCCTCTAATAACTCTAATCTGATCTCAACAAATACCTCAAATATGCACAATCAATCATAGCCCTCAGTTTCATAATAAATTTAAAACATAAATTCATCGATCAATGACACTCCAAGCATGAATAATCAAAATCCAAGATATAAGAAAAAGATTATAATGAGAATTACGAAAAGCCCTATGAATTAAAACAAAAGAAGTACATAGATTTACTCAGATAAAATCGATGCTTAATCATAAAATAGTATTCCAAATGTTAATCAAGGATAGCAGCAGAGTCAAAATCCAAGAGGTTTTATTTTACACATGATTAATAATGATAGATAAAGAAATTAATAGGAGTATGGACAATTAGAAACAAACAAGAGGTAAAGCAATAATTGGATCTTGAAAAGTAATGAGAAAAAAATAGCAATGACTGAATCACCTTCACGAAAGATGGATGAAAGGAGATTATTTAATTAAAATCAATAGTAAATCAAGTTAAACAATCAAAATCATGAATATTATCAAATATAAGGAGAAGATAATGATGAGATAGATTTTGATGAAAGTGTCCAATAAAATATAAACGATAACAACCAATAGATATTTAGTGATAATGATGATTCATTTGAGTAAATGCAAGACTAGGATCAAGACGATTTCATTGATTTAGATGAAGATGAATAATCTCCTAAAAGATTTCTGGATAATTTAGATAAAAGGACTAAAATTATTTCTTTATCACCTGATAAAAAATCTTAAAGCTCTATTGAAAATGATGAGAATACTTAATCATCCTATTCTTTAGAAAAAGTAGTTGGGTTAATGATGTTAAAAAAAGATAGGAAAATTCCAAACTCAGTCTATAAGCCTCATTCAGAAGAAGTTTTCATTGTGGTATCTTCATTCTTTAGTAACAGCTCATCAGGATTTCAAAGAATACTGTTTCCATATCCTAAATATTGTTAGAGAACTGATACTGCCCCATCTTTTCTATAGATTGACCATCCTTAACTTTATGATCCAAAATACTATATGATTAAAGTTTATGCATAAAGTGAACTAAAAAAGAATAAGCTATAGCTAGGCTTCAAGATGACTGACAGTACTCATATTTATAATTCAGTAGTCAATACAATGAAAAATGCAGGAGTTAGAATAGTTGCACCGAATACTAGCAAATGGAATGTTACTTGGACGGGAATAACTAAGCCAGAATTGCTTAGAGAAATGTTTAGATACCAAAGAGTCAATCACTTTCCATAGAGTTTTCATCTAGGTAGGAAGGATTTAATGTGGAAGAACATTTATAAAATGAAAAGGCAGTATCAGTCAGATTATGATATTTGTCCTTAAACTTACCTCCTACCGGATGATTATAAAAAATTAGTTGCTGATAGAGAGGCTGAGGGAAACAAAAATCTTTATATTTTGAAGCCTAATGCGTCATCTTGTGGAAAAGGCATTTCAGTTTTAGGTCCTTAAGATCCCATTCCCAAAAAAGGTGGGTATCTAGTGTCAAAATATCTTGCTCATCCTCATCTAATAGATGGACTAAAATATGATCTCAGAATTTATGTGCTAGTTACATCTTATGATCCATTAAAGATCTATTTATTTAGAGAAGGATTAGTCAGGTTTGCTACTGAAAAATATTCAACCAATCCTAATAATCTAAAGAAAAGATTTATTCATTTAACCAACTATTCGGTAAATAAAAAAGCTGAAGGATATGTTAGAAATTAGGATAAAGTTGGTGGGGATAATAACCTAGATGAAGAGAGATCAAGTAAATGGAATCTCTTGCAACTTAAAAAATAATTTGATAAACTAGGTATAGATTATTCCTAAGTTAAAGGAAGAATCAAAGATGTAATCATAAAGACTCTGATTTCAGTAGAACCTCATATTATGAATTCAATGACTAGATGTACTCGCCACAGAAATGTATGCTTTGAAGTATATGGATTTGATATTCTCCTTGATGCTAAATTAAAACCTTGGCTCTTGGAAGTTAATATATCTCCAAGTTTGAGCAGCTCAAGCCCATTAGATAAAAAGATCAAGACCATGCTTATCTGTGATACTCTTAATCTTACTGGTGTTTAACCATTTGATAAGAAAAAGACTCTCAAAGAGTAGGAGTAGTAGCTTAGGAATAGACTACTTGGACTCAATAAATCACCAAAGAGCAGAGGAAAGTCATTCGAGTATCTTGGTGGTGACGGTTGCGAAAAGATTATGAAGATCATGGATTAGCCTTTGTGTGAGGATGAATTGCAAATTATTGTGGATTACGAAGAAGAATAACTTAGAAAGGGAAACTTTGATTTGATCTTTCCACTTCCTTTAAATGTACCGTATTATTCATAGTTCTTTGAGTTTCCTAGAACTGGTAATGAGACTCTTTGGAAATATATAAGAATATTAACTGCTCAGAAAAATAATCAAAATATAGGCAGCTAAAATTGAATATAACTAATAATTCATATTTATTTAAATCAATTATTAATAAGCATTGTCTTTGGGGGTTTTGGGGTTTTGGGG